ATACATGCAGCTGAAAAAAGGATCAAAGTTGATTAAATAAGCCTTAATACTCTAGCTCCTAGGAGTGAACAAAAAAAAAGATTTCTCCAAACTGTCTCTAGACATTGCCAAGCAGAAAGGCAATGAGATGAATAAACATTATCAACTATTAGACATTGATGGTTGATTTAATACCAAATGTAATGATACTGCAAGGTTGGGAGCAAAATTTGTATATTCAACAATTACTTTTTTACCTCTAGAAATAAAGAAAAAAAATATTAGTGAGAGAAATTGTTCTATGCTGAACTGTAATCACATGGTTTTACTGTGACTGAGACCTGGTCAGGGTGAATGTTCTTTGCCAGGTTGTCAAAACAGATTTCTATCAGGGGAATAATTTCTTCCCTTCTTGTTGCACAGATTATCATGAAAACTTGTTGGCTGTGACACAAACAAAAGTGTCTCTATAGCTCTAAATCCAAGATTGACAACAAACAGCAAAATGCTTTAGACTCCAAAATGACAAGTAACACAAAAAGGGGACATAGTAATTTAAATCAATGACTTAAAGATTCCAAGATCAGATTCATAGTGTGATAGAAGCATATAGTCATTGGTCAATTTTATGAATTTATAGATATATTAATAAGACATAAAATAATACATTTTTTTGTGTGTTTGTACCTCTACAAGCATTGGTTTCATGGTTGAACTCTTCTCAGTTTTCTAGAAAAGGAACAATTTTTTCACCATTAAACTTAAGTAGCAAATCAATTTTAAAGACTGAAATACATTTCATGCAATTTTAGCTGGCAAATATTGAGCTGATATCTGTGTACTTAAACACACTGCAAGGTTTGGAAAGTGTTGAAGAAGACCTCCCTAAAATTGGTGATTAAATACCATGCATTCAATCCAAGTTGTAGCAGCAATTCTGCAAGCCTAGACTTTGAAAGAGCTTGTTTCATTTTAGGAAACAATCCATGAAAACCCACTTATTAATAAAAGGATGTTTCTATACAAGAGTAGCTCTGTTGGCAATTACTAAATGGCTGTTTAGTATATATCATTTACTGGTTGCTATAGGATCCAATATACTTTAATGTACCTTCCTGGCAGACTTTTTCCATGACAATAAATGCGACTGCTGTGAATTACTAGTCGTCAATGGATTCTGAGATGTTGCTTGCAGAACTGCAATCATGATACAGTGTTTGTAAATTTAAAAGCACTAGTATGAGCTTTGGATGCAAAACTTTGCAAAGCACATCATCCTATTGACTAATCTTAATGGCTATAATAGGGGATCCAACATCAGGTTTGGCAGAATGTGGAATGAGGCTTAAATCTAAGGCAGGATGTGGGATACAAGAAATTTTAAAGGCAAGATGCGCAATGATAAAAAGGAAGGTAAGAACAGGATATGCTTCATTTCAAAGGCAGGATAGGGGATGGTACCTGGATATGCAAGATCATAATTTTGCTCAGGTTATGAGTCACTCAACCACAGAGACATAAAAAAGTAATTAATATTTGCTTTATAAACAACTGTACAGTAAATGCTCCAGTGTAAATTGGGGTTGACAGCTGGCCTAAATAATTCCGTTGTGCCTCCAGTTTTCTCTGTATTTGTTACAAGTGTTAATGGGCCCTCATGGCTCCATAGTATATCTGGTTTTCTCCCCTAGTTTAATTTTCTATCATGAGTGTATCTTTGAATGAACACCCCTTTCTGTATGATATTATGAATGGTTCTCTGAAGATTTCTCTTAGCAATGGTTGTTGCTGTATTAAATGCCTCTTGCTCATAAGGATTTATTTAATATTAAGAACTGTTGGATGGTATTAAAAAGAGAAAGATTTGATTTTTTGTGTACCCTTTACAATTCTAATGATCTATGAGAGTGTGTTTTCAATAAACTTTTCCAAGTAGCCTCTCTCTGCTAAGTGTTTGAAGTGTCTAACATTCTCTTTAAATTTTTCTTTTGAAGAGTTAGCCCAGGGTAGTCATAACACTTTGCCTTTAACAAAGCCTTTCTTTGGTCCTGGTGGGTGACATGTTGTGTAGAATGTGTACTGGAATGTCTCTGTTGGTTTGAAGTGGGTTCTCAGGTGGCAAACTGACTCCTTTTTAAATCTTTCACTCTTATAGATAATTGTATCCAAGAAAGTAGCTTCAATCTGAAACAAATATCTCAGTAGTAAATTTGATTTTGGTTGCATGGTGTTCATTTGCTTGTTTGATGAACTGGTTGATGACATCTCAGTTTGTGTGCATGAGAGAGATTACATTGTTGATGTAGCATTTCCATACAACTGTTTGTAAGTGCTTTTATCTAGGATTTGCATTTCAATTTCAGCCATGAAGATATTTGCCAAAGCTAACATCATTTTTGGTGCCAATGGAGGTTCTGTGCATTAGCAAGTAATTTTGTTTGTTGAATTGGAATTAGTTTTCCTGGAAAATCAGTCAAAGTGCTTTCTTTTGGACACTGTGCACACCTTGTTTATGCTCTTGGTTTGTGTTCTATTTATGTATACCAGTAAGCTTGTGACACCCATTTAGATGAGTATCTGACTTCTTTCACTGATTTTTCCAACAAAGTTGATGAAGTCTGTTGCATCTTTGGGATTTGACTTCTTTCGTTGTGGGGTTGGCTAAAGAATTTTATTTATGAAACAGGAGAACTTTTCTGTGGGTCCTTCCACTGGTGGAGTTTTTGTGTCTCGATATTAAAACTATAAACACATCAGGGAACAACCATTTTTAAGCCTGCTAAATATGCCTTCAGCAGTCCATAATGAGAGTTCATTATTAGTAAGTGTAAAGGCTATAATTTTGCCTGGCATCAGTTTAAATAAGGCAGTGATCTAGAGCAACTTGGGTTTAACCAGGCAGGATTGGGATGAAAATGTTAATTGCAGTGGGATTGTGGAATATAATAAAAAAGTAGTCACAGAATGTGAGATTGGAAAAGTCTATTTTGGAACCTCATAATAGATTTATATGTAGTCACTTGATTTGGATGAAAGTTAGAATCAAGAAGTCCAACTCATTATGCTCTCACTAAATATTTAACAATATGAGATAAAATATTTAATTCAACTCACCAGATCTCACAGAATAAACTCCAGCAAACTTGGAAACTTCCTTAGCTTCAACTTCTAAAATAGACAAGTTATGAAGGAGAAGCAAACTTAATGTTGAAAGTGTTGGGGCAGATAAGCATTTCATTTAGTTTTACTTTCCATTGCTGGAATGTATTAGGCATGATCCTCACCATCTACATACATTATTCCAGAAGGAGTAGATGTAATTTATCTATTAATGTCTCTGACATATACTTTATGCTATGCTGTTCTTTTCTATTCATTTCTTTAGGAAGGTTACAGTCTTCCAAAACAAATCAGAGATGTGATCGCAGATTATGATCATAATGTAATCTTGGGTTTAAACTTTTCATGTATGATCATGTTGATGGCTGAAATACAGCAATGGTCTTGTTAGTTCATCTGTTAGTTACTTAACTGTGCAGAGACACTGAATACCATTCCGAGCAAACTCCCTAATATAGCAGACAGGTGTCTTTCAAATTGAGTTTACCAGGATGCAGCCAAATCAAACCTCCTTATAAACAGTCCTCAGTGACTCCCGGTATGTAGGCTCAAATTCATGTTTGCTATGACAAATAACTCAGTACCTTTGTTACTTATTTTTGATGTTGAATTCTTGGGAATTTTGTAGTCAATTAGAAGTTTTCCAAAGCCAAATTCCTCCTCATCTGGTTCCACTTCCAAGCCATGCTCCTTCATGTACTTGTCAACAACCAGTTGAGTTGGTGTGTCATAGCTGTGCAAGTTTGCATTTAAACTACTGATATGCTCAGTAATGTCATTTATGGTTCCACCACGATGAAATGAATCTTGCAGCTCATATACTGATCAATATTATATTTGAATCAAGGAAAACACAAAATGTGAGCCAAAAAAAAAAAAAATTCAAATTCAAATACATTAAGGGGGTACGTTTCTAAATAAACTACGGTAAATTGGTGGTGGGGCTACTACAAGATAATACTGAGTTGTTATTGTAAATTGGCCATCATAAAGAGTTTCTTAAGCTGATGTTTCAAACATAACCTTTCATCAGAGTAAATGACAAAAGGATTCTTGCTCAAAACATCAGCTTAGGAAAATTTCTACGGTGGCCAATTTTCATTATCAACCTAGTATATAAAACCAATGTAACTCACTAGCAATAATGCAAATCATGAATATATCTAAAAAATTTAATTGTTTTTATTTTCACAGTGAGAACCAAAATTCACAGAAAATTGACATGACCACATTTCAAGTATTGCATATTTCCTTAAGAAATGTCTTTAACATAATTACTGCTAAAGATGAAACACCCACCCAACTGTAACCCACATATGTACAACTGAGATTATTGGCTGCCCTTTTGCTTTTTGAGTTGTTCAATTTTTTTCAAGGACTTATAGCCCCAGTTAAAAAACTGATTTCTAAGTTAAGCTTATCACGTGAAAGATTCCAGCTTCATGCAACAATTACCTGTACACCCCCTCTCCTCCCACCCCCCCCCCCACCCCCCCTTACCCTTTTGATGCTGGTTGTTCTACCTTTTTCCAAAATGTGAAAAATTTAAACGAATTTTCCTAGGATTTTTACTGATGATACTGTAGTTTCCAAGCATACATGCACATGCACAATGTACGGTAGAAACTCATTATGATGTAAGAATATCCGATAGACGTTTACACTCCGTTGTGTTCCTTCGCGCGCGCAGCACTTTACCGTCACTACCGCTCTTATTTTTACGCTTCGTTCGGCATAATGGAAGCTGACTAGGACAACAGAAGACCTTTCTAATCTGACGGTACTCCTTTTTTTATCTTTTCATCCTTGCGTGTAATGGATAAAACTATACCGTGAACTATACGATCTGTTCATTAACATAAATCTCAGTACGCCTCGCGATCTAAAAAGTCGTTCAGAGGGCCTTTTCAATCATACGCTATGATATTCTAGCGCAAGATCTACGAACAAGTAAAGCAACCATGATGCGAATTTATGATCACAAATGACCGATTATTTATGTCCTCGATTAGAAATCGCGTGCTGTACACTTCTTTTTCAAAGGGCTCCACGGGAGAAAGACGGTAGCTATTGGTAACCAAATAATTTCACCGAACACCAGCTGTGAACCATAAGAGTTAAGAGTAAACATGATCACAAAGGATACAACCATCCGGAACTTTTTCTCCTTCTGCCACGTACATGCTGTTATTTCTTTACACAAAGCTTCATCTCTGCTGGAAACGGATATCTCTGTAATAAGTTTACTAAACTCATCGACTGACAAGCGCAACAAGTGAGAAAAGCCTGAAACGAGCAACTGACTCGCAGGGCTCTCTGGGACTGCAATGGCGGATTAGAAGTACGAAATTTTCTACTTATTCTGCAGAAAGTGATGGAGTTTTTTGCTGTTTCAGCGCATGGAATTGTACCAAGTAAACGTGCATTTCATTCTTGTTCTGTCGTAGGAAATTTTCTGTATATTTTTGGAGGAATTGCACCGGACAGAACTGTTTTAAATGACATGTACATGTACAATATTTCTTCAAATATGTGGAGTCGGATTGAGGACAGAGTACCGGGTAGTTCTCAAAGCAGACTTTTAGTTTCATCAGGATTTCCTAAGGGAAGACTTTGCACCGCACCGAGTGTCAGCCACCATACAGCGACGGCTGTAAGGGGCCGGTTTATTTTGATAATAGGTGGTTGGAATGGACGGAAAAGGTGCGCTGATGTGTTTTGTTTTGACACTGTTGATCAATTTTGGCGTCATATCCCTGAAACTGGAGACATTCCTGTAGGATTAAGCTCGCATACGGCAACTTTAGTATCTTCTAAAGATATTTTGATAATCGGACGTGAAGGAGGCGTTCACACGCAGCGTCGCTTCTCTGGTGCTTTTTATTTAAACTTTGAAACAGGAAAATATTCTGAAGCACCATTTCATGCCAGCTCCAGGTCGGGTCATACAGCAAATCTTATCCCCATAAGAACTAGCGGGGAGAACCATTTATTTGTTTTTGGAGGTCGTAAGAGTGGAGGATATGAATTAATTGGCTCGTGGAGGAAAATGGAACAAACTGAGACGTCGTTTCCCCAGCAGAGAATCTCTGAATTGCTCGGAAAGTCTGCCATATGCGACGAACCTAGTGGTCGACAGCACGCTAAAGCTGTAGAGCTGGGCAGTAAACATTTGCTAATTTTTGGTGGGGAGACCTGGAGTGGTGTAAGGGAGAATGTAACAAATGAGGCTTTCGTTTTAGAAACTGACACAATGAAATGGTATAAGTTGCCCCTCGTAGGAGATGCCCCAAAACTTGTTGGACATTCCATGGTAGGGTGTGGTGAAAAGATTTTTGTGTTTGGAGGTGGGCTTTCCAGCAAATATTGTAATACACTTTGGGAAGTTAAGATTTAACATCGCAAATGCACTTAAATTCACATGTAATGGTTGCAAAAAGGTGGGTCACCTACAAAGAGTTTGTTGTTCAAAGCTTAAAGCTTGTAAGGAGAACCTTCTTATTAATCACTTCTGGGAGTTAAATTTATAACATCAGTTTTTAAGTACACACACAGTTATTCTGAAACATGCATTTTGATGAGGTTGAGAGGTTTGTTGAATAAAGGTGTTTGGACACAGGAATTCTAATCACCTGGTTTTTCAGATGGGGTTTGTAAAGAGTATACCCATTCTTCCAAAATTGTGGAAATTTATGAAGTCCTGAAAAAAAAATGATTAAAAATTGAGATTGAAAGGGTTGAAAAAAGTGGGAAGAAGGTCACAAGTGTTCTCTTTTTTTTCTGAGCTGAAACAAGTACTTCACTGAAGCTGAAGGTTACCAATTCTACATAAACCTTAAAGTTTTTAAAAATTAACCTCATGTAAATCTCACATAACCTTCAATAAAGCCTTTCTTTTTAAGCTCAATGAGTTTATTTACAATTTTTCTAGGAATTCAAAGTTATTGTCCAGGTTATAAAACAAAGTTTGATATCCTTTGCTCTAAATAAACATGTTCATTGGTTAATCTATATTCATTTTGATTTGGTTCAAAAAATCCCATAGCTGTGAGTGCCTCACAGAGTCAGTTCATTTGTTGTTGTCACTGAGCTAGTAACCTCACACTTGTACTTTGAATATTATATGGTTAGGAAATTTTTTCACTGGTTGCAATTGGAATATCACCATGGCTTAAAAGATAGTTTATGCTTAGACAGACTCAAAATCACTAAATTACTTGGGTTTTGTTTTCCTGCTTGTGCAGTTTTGTTGCCAGAGAGGTTTATTGTGCATAGTTGACAGTAATTGTTGCTGATGGCCTGAGCCAAGTGCTGTGCTCCATTGTCTGTGATATTATTGGCTCTGAAATCTTACATGGGTAGCTGACAGTTGTTGTCATTGATGGCTTTAGCCAAGTGCTATGCTCCTTTGTCATTGATGCTATTGTTTGAGAGGTCTAACATGCATAGCTGACTAATCTTGTTGATGAATTTAGCCAAGTGCTGTGCTCCATTGCCTGTGATATTATTGTCTCTGAGATCTAACATGGGTAGCTGACAGTTGTTGTTGTTGATGGCTTAAGCCAAGTACTGTGCTCCTTTGTCATTGATGCTACTGTATGAGAGGTCTAAAGTACATAGCTGACAAATCTTGTTGATCAGGTTGATGGCTTTAGGCAAGTGCTGTGCTCCATTGTCACTGGTGTCATTTTTTAGGAGGTTAAGGTGCAAGGCTGACAGTTGTTGATGGTGTTAGCAAAGTGCTGTGTTGCATTGTCATTGATGTTATTGTCTGAGGTCTAATGTGGGTGGCTGACAGTTGTTGTTAATGATGGCTTCACGCAGGTGCCGTACTTCATTGTCACTGATGTAACTTCCTGACAGGATTAAGGCACATCGCTGACAGTTATTGCTTATAGCTTTGTGTAAATACTTTGCTGCTTCATCTGTCAATTGATTGCTTACGAGGTTTAACCAGCTCAGTCGAGATTGACTACTTTTTAACAATTTACAAATCTCTTAGCAACCTAATGTGTCAGTGTTGTCTTTCCCCAAACCTAAGTGTTAAAATTGTTGAATTGTTAAATACCTTAACAAATGGAGGGCAGTCAACAACAGTGAGGTCACATAAAGTTATTTTGTAGTAGTTTTCTCTGAACTATTGACTCCATCTCTTAGCTTTCATTGATATCTTTGAACAGTATTACTGCTAAATGATGTGTCTTCAGTCAGCCAACTGGTCACTTTCCTTAGCTCTTGATTCTCTGTCGATTGTTCATTGTAGAGTCTGCTTTCATTCTCTTCAGTTTCCATAGGAAACACATTGATGAATATTTCGTTTGGAAGCTCGTCTGTATCATTCATTAGTCCAGCTAGGAACTGGAAAACCAGTTGCCATTCCCACTCTAGATATTCTCAGAAATGAAGTTCTTCAATTCATTTTCATTCATGGTGTTTGCCTGGTGCCTTACAGCAAAAAGAAAAATTAAAGTGAAATTTTTGTTGCAGAATTCTTTTGTGTATTGTTTAAACAGACTCAATTCAATGGCTGCTCTGGTTCGTGTCACATGATCTTGCAATGGGGCAAGGGGGGGATATAAGTTACATGTCTTGCATCTCTTCTCTAAGTTTTCAAATCAAAATTTGAAAAGTTAGAGAGTAACTAACAAAGTTCAAATGCAGTTCTCTGGTTTTTAAGGAAACCATTACATAAAGCAAAACTGTTATGGCACCTAAAAACAAAAAAATTACAATAGTCAGTTTAGACAGTTGATATTTATAGTCTTTTTATTACACCCGTTTTGAAATCATTGGTGGTTCCTGTAATCTGATCGGCTCTAATTGGTGCGATTCACTCATGAATTGCACCATTTTTTGCTTTAAATTGCATCTTTCCCCAGCCAACGAGGAGGCTACAATAAAAATAAAACAACCAATCAAATTTCAAGCCTTGTTTAAAGTACCCAATCAAATTGCAGGAAAATGAAAGATAAAGAGTATCATGTGGCAAATTTTTTTTGCAACTTTTGTTTCCAAAACTCCAATTTGTCCCCTCTCAAAAATGGATGAATTTAATTTCAAACCGGCTTAGTACTGCATCAATAAAATATTTGAACTGACCAAGTCCTGTAATTGGGCGATTTCAAGATGGATGTAATAAAGTGGTAATTGAACCTCGTGTCGTGCAATTTTGGTCTGAAATCATACTTGTGATTACAAATCGAACGATTTTGAAATCACGCGTATGATTTCAGCCCAAATTGCACTCCGCTCAGTTCAATTACCAATATTAATTACACGGGTGGACCTCTATCGGGCACGTGTCGCTCGTACTTATGGAACTACCGTCGTAGATGGGACTGATTAGGGAGGAGACTCAGTTGGGTTTGGAATATTCTCGCCATTAGACTGTCAGTTCAAGGCTCGGTTCTGCAGTTTCTGGTGGTTTTAAGTGCTCTGCGGTTCTCCCACGTATATACACTGAATATGATCGGCTGCCATGTCGTTGATGAAATGCCTTAGCGACCAATCCTTTTCACCGGGGTAAACGCATGCGGATTGCATTACAGTACTGTACCATCATCGGATTCTAAGACTTTGCTGGTAGGAAATGTTTATCACGGAATTCTTCCATATGTTTATGGTAAAACACTCTCTCTACCATCTTGTAAATCTTTGTTAATTTGGAAGAAGGATAACAGTAGCGGCATTGTCGAAATAATTGCCACAAACTTGAGCACATGATGAAGTTGTTTGCCGGGATACAGAAGAGTCAAAGTTGTACTTTTTAAGGGATTTGCATAACTGCAAAGTATCCTTGCATTTTCCTTAAAACAATAACCACTCTCATTATACACCTGCTCTTCCTCAGTCTTATTTAAAACATGCTTACTAGTCGGAAGTAAAACAACTATTGGCACCACTATAAGACGTTTTCAATGTGGTTAACCGTCAACCGTCAAAAATGCAAGATTTTCCACAGCACTGTTAACCGAGCTGCAATTAATAGTTCCGGAAAAAAAGAAAATAGAAGGCTTTTAGGCTTCATACTTTCAAGGGTCTAAAATTTAAAAATAATTTTTCAATTTTCAATACTTATCAGGAATATTGGGCTATGAGCGAACCCTTCCCATTGCACCTCACGAACTTCAATGATGTGACGTGTGGCGTAAATCTCCTCGAGAAGAAAATCTTAACCCCACTTGGTTCCCAGGGTCTGTCATGTCTTCTCGCTCTCTGAATCACCTTAGTGGATGGAAGGAAGAGAAAATTTAGCAAAGAAGATGGATTTTTACCGCGGTGAAAACAAATTTGCCATGGTGGTTGTGGGTCACAGTAACTAACCCTCTACTTCAGAAAGATCAGTTCACGAAATGCGTTTTTAATTTTTTGCTATGAAACATCTAGTACAGTCATTTGACATGTGAAATTTCAATTCAATGTAATCTGAGCACATAATAAATAAGTCCTATTGTTGTATACATTGTTTCAAATTGTTCAATAGTTTTCCACTTGGTTGAACTCTTTCAAGGAACAAAGTCCAAGAAGAGTGATAATCTGGTCATATTGCCAGCCACAGTGGTGAAAGGCCCCTGGCAGAATCAGCTTCACACAGTGGGTGAGGATTGCGACTCGATTTCTGTAGTGGTCTTCAAAGAGGCCTTTCTTGTTTGCGTTTTCACACTGATGTAATTTAACTCGGTAGGCCCTTCGGCATAAAGGGCATTTATCTACGAGCAATAGTTTACTTTATCCAGACTTCTGAACCAAGGTTATTCTAATATTCTAGGACGCCTGAGATAAAACAAAATCCTCGTAATATAAAAGATATTCAATTCAGCAAGAACGAATTACTTTGAAAACTAGAGTCACAAAAAGCAGAGGGGTTAAAATTTTTTTTGCATTGATCTTGTTTCACCGGAATATAAAAAAAGTGTTCTAAAAAACCGAAGAATAAGCTGCAATTTTTACTCTGTTGACGATGATTTGCTACACGTTACTGTGCAAGGTGAAGACATTCTCAGTCACAGGAGACAATCGAGAAAAACAACAAGCTAAATTTTCAAACTTCTCAAGAGACAAATTTCATTTACCGTATTTACTCAGATAAACACCGCTCACCAAAACAAGGCGCAATTGGATGTAAAATAACCGCTAGACACTGCCCACGAATAATGCCACCCTAAAACAACAGAGGGCAGCATTTTTTATGGATTCTTGGAAAAACTCAATAATCTAACCAAGCCATGTTGCACTGATATTCCAATTAAGCCGATTATGAATCTATCGCGAAAAAAAAAAAAAGCGAGAAATTAGAACTTAAACATGTCTTTGTTTTACATAGCGTGATTATTGTCAGTGTTTACAAAATGTGATTTTGGAATAGACACTGCCCTTACATAAACGGTTCAACGGAAAAGTTATAAATTTCTAAACCGCCGCGGCGTTTCATTTAGTACATGCAGTAGTTTCATTTCTTTCTACCAAACTTTTATGCAATTATGTGAATAAAATTTGTACGTCTTTTCCGAGGAAAAAAATAAACTATCGCCCGCAGATATTCATTTAAGACCAAGCTTTTTTGTCCTCATATTAAGGATTACACTGTTCGGTGAGAACAGTCAAACTCTGAACGTCAACTGGGTGATGCGCATGCTTGACTCGATGTCAGCCTCGCCTTTCGTGAAGCTTGTCTGCCAATGAGCAGAAAACGACATGGTTTATCCACCAGGAGCTATAGATTTGTTAGAATGGTGGATGTTCCCCGCAGATACCAC